TATTTTAAATAATAATAATTTTAAAAAATAAACCAGCTGACGTGTACGGTCTCCACGGTGCCATGCTCTGTGTCTGAGTGGCACCGTGCTGGCACCAGCACATTTGTCAGGCTGTGAGCAGGAGAAGCGAAGGTCCCTGGACCGAGAGTCCAGGCCCCTGGGGCTCTGGGCAAGGCGTGGCCCCCACCTCGCCCTGTGGCCTCTGAACGCAGGGGCTACACCAGATGACCTCTGAGGAGGTTTAGAAACGTAGACGGGTCCGTTTCTTCTGTCTGAGCGGGTGCCGGGTGAACGCCCTTCACTGTCTTAACGCCTCTCTGCTTGTTCTCCGTTGTCTGTCCCTGTGGGAATGCCAGCTGACTGTCCGTTTAAAAGACATCTGCTCCATGACTAAAGAGAAGACAGCTCGCCTCATCCCCAATGCCATCCAAGTTTGCACTGACTCAGAAAAGGTAAGCGGAGTCTCACCTTGGACTTGACTCCCCTCCCTAAGCCCCAGCCCCCAACTTCTGTGTTTCTGCCCTTCAGCTGCAGATGGGGAGGCTGCGGGTTGGGGTGTGAGGCAGGGAGGGATGCGGTTGCAGAACTGCCTCCAGGGGGGGCAGGGCGTTTGGGAGACTGAGGAAGGATAGCCAGGACACTGGACCTGGAGCCAGGAAGCCTGAGTTCGAGTCCTGCGACCTTAGGCAGATGGGTAGCCCTGTAGCCTCGGCTATCTCGGGTGTAAAAGGAGCCGGCAGGACCATTTTAGATACAGAGTCTTGAAAGGACATCACACATTTGAAAACACTAAGTTGTAAAGCGTAATGCAAATGTCAGTTGTCATTGTGTATCAGCAGAGCTCCCGAGGGCGGGAGGAGTCTGATGGAATGGAATTGTCCTGTGGTGCGGGGAAACGTGGAAGATAAAACTTAGGGCAGAGAAGTACTAGGACCGTGACTACCGCCTTCGGGGGGTTGGGGGTGTGTAGACTCGGTTCCTGCCCATCACAGGGCAGCTCAGTGACAGGAACGTCAGGGTCAGGTAGCTGTTGGTGTGAATTGTGTTTCTGGCACGAATCAGCCTTGTGAGTATAGAGGTCACCCAGCTTCACAGCTGTTTCTCCTTATTAGGTACTAGTGCCCCGGTGCACAGATTTGTGCACATGGAAAGGAAATTAATTAGAAGGTGGCTGGCGGGGCAGGACTGGGTGAGAAGGGCCGGACACGCCCTGGAGCCAACTCCCGCAGTCCCTCCCCGGCCAGTCCCACCTGGGGAGGCGCTGCAGCTCATAGGGCATCTGTGGAGTGAGTGGGTCCCTCAGCCTGGCCTGCGGGGATCGGGCCGAAACCGGCTCTCTGATATCCCCTGAGGGATCCCAGAGTGCGAGAGGGCAGTTCTCTGGTGACGCACCCAGAATCGGGCTCCCTCCTCTCTGGTTCCAGGTGCGTCACCCGAGAACCACCGCTGCCAAGTCACCGCAGCTCGGCAGCTCCGGGGTTGAGCGTCTGGCCCCTGGTAGTCATTGTGCATCATAGCTACCGGTCGGACGGTTGCTTAGCCTTTTATATATGTAGATTAGCACTTAGGTTTATTTCCCAAGGCCTTTGCATGGTGTAAATAAAGCAACATCTGTGAGGCACCTAGAATGTGTTCAGACAAATCTGGTTTTGTCTGGCTTCCCGCGTGTCATAAGGGTCCCGCTGATGCGTACGCTCCGTGAGAGAAGGGGTCTCCTCCCGTGTTGTTTGCTGTCGTTCCCCAAGCGTGTGGGATGGTGCCGGGCACATGCTCACCCTGAACGCCCTGTTGAGTGACTGAATGAAACGGGGAGGGGATTGTCTTCCCTTCCCCTTTAGGCTAGTTCACAGCTCCCCTTGCCCAGTCCAGCCGGTAAGGGAAGCAAGTGTTCCGTGGAGATGAGAGCTTCGAACAGGAAGGGGAGATGAGGGGAGCGGGTGACCCGAAGGCCTCGGGGACAGTGGGGGCCGGGATCGCGGGCCTGAGAGCCGTAGCTGAGGCTGGAACCGGTGGCTCTCTCACAGGAAGGAGCAGCCTGTCTTCGTCCCTGTGGTGCGGTAACCTTCACTCACATTTCTGCCATTTCCTTGCATCCAGCACTTTTTCACTTCGTTCGGGGCCCGGGACAGGACGTACATGATGATGTTCCGGCTGTGGCAGAACGCGCTCCTCGAGAAGGTGAGCACTGCCCAGCTCCGCCCTGAGCCCAGGACCCGCTCCCACTAGCATGTCCTCCCCCTCGGCGTGGGCCCTGTGGAGGGGCTGCTCTTTACCGGGGCGCTGGCCGCTCCCAGAGGCCCAGGTTTCCTCGTGGTCCGGGAAGTCCCCCAGACGTGCTCACAGGTGATGTCACCTGAGTCCTGGAAGTCGCCTGCCTCCCAGGGCCTGCTGCCTGGCCAGGGCCCTCCGGGATTTGTTCCTGTCGGGTGTGATAAGGCACAGACACGTGGAAGTGACTCTGAGTTTTATACTTACACATCTGCCCCCGGGGCAGAAGCGCGTCAGGCCACGCAGCCGCTGGGAAAGCGCAGGGGGTCGGGAGGCAGAGCCTGGGGAGCCTGGGCGGGGCCTGAGCCTGTGAGGTGGCAGACAAGCTGAGCCCCGTGGAGCTGGCCAGGGAAGGCTGCATGGAGGAGGCGAATTGTTAAGAAGGGCAGAGCGGTAGATGTGGCCCAGGCAGGATTAATGGTAGACATAAGGCCAGAGAGAGGAGGAGGAGGCCCAGGTAAAGAAGAAGGCCTCCCTCTGGCGCTGTGAGAGCCAGCACAGAGCTGTCCCCCCAACCCCCCCACTCCCCCCACACACACACGCCTCTACCCTGCGGCTCAGAGAGAGCCCTGCCTGTGTCGTCCTGGGCAAGTCTCTAGACCCCTGGCTCAGGCACCCTCACAGCCCCTGCTTCTTAAACTCTGCCTTGAGGAGCACTCGGGTTCTTTATCACATCGTTGGTGGGAAACGTGCTGTAAGTTCGCCTCTGGAAGCAGAGGCGCATCACGCCAGGCGGGGCCACGGGGGAAGCGCCAGGCAGAGAGCAGGGAAGCGTGGGCGGAGCCTGTGAGGCTTTCCCGGGAGGAATGGGTGAGGCGGGGTAGGCCGGCCAAGCACACTTGGGATTGGCTAGTTTGAGTAATTGAATAATTTTTAATGATGTTGACTGCTTCTGCTTTTCTTAGCGATCTTGCCCTCCTTTTTCATAGACTTATGCCCACCACCTTCTCCCCCTTCCCAACCCCAGGCGCATCCATGGTCTCCACCTCTGATCTTAGTTCTTTGAAAATCGGTTGCCTCTTTCCCAAATCTTTGAACCTCATGAGCGCTAACTTTTCTTAGGATCGTGCTTTTGAGGAGGAAATGAAGACACCCAGAGAAATAGAAAAACTGGAACTGGTACCTGGGGCTGAGGGCAAACGGGTTCTACTGAAGAATAAAGAGGGAGGATTGAGGTGGCCAGGGGAGGGCAGCGAGCTTTGAGGCCCCTTAAACTCAGAGAAGCCTCCAGTGGCTTCTTTCTGGCCACGGGAGCTTCCCCCCTGCAGGGCCACCTCTGGGGCGGCCTGGTTCTCGGGTGTGGCCCCGCAGGGTGTGCCCGGCGCTGTCAGTGCAGGAGATTTCCACAGCGTCAGGGAGGCTGGCTCAGGGGGTCTCTGCCGCGCATCCCACGTCCAGATCCGAAGCCCTGTGGTCACCCTGGCCCACGGGGACCCCAGTTCATGCTGCGTAACGATGGGCCTCCTCCAGAGGAGCCGAGAGCAGACAGTGACCGTCCTCACGGGCCGTGGTCCCTGTGGACCGGAGTTGTGTGAACAGGCCCAGTCCCGGCTGTGATAAAAGACATCATCTTGGGCAGAAGAGCGGGGTCTTGAGATCCGGCGAGGAGGGCCGGGGAGGTGCCGAGGTGGTCATGGAGGCCTGGCTCTCTCGGTCCAGCCAGGGGGAGCCCTCGGAGACCAGCTCACTCGGAGCCTCTGTGGGGAGGGTCCCAGGAAGGCAGGACCAGTGTCCCTGTTGTCCCTGCAGCCGCTGTGCCCCAAGGAGCTCTGGCACTTCGTCCACCAGTGCTACGGGAGCGAGCTGGGCCTGACCAGCGACGACGAGGACTACGTGCCCCCCAGTGATGACTTCAACACGATGGGGTGAGAGAGGGGGCGGCTGCCCAGGGAGCCTTTCCACGAGGGGCGAGGACAGCAGTGAGGGCCGCGGTGGGGATGGCACATCAGGCAGCCCCAAAGGACAAAGGACGTGAGGGGTGGCCCAGGAGTTGCCTCTGGGAAGGCCTCCCACTGGGGGGACAGGGGGAGCAGGAGCTGGCGCTGGGCGGGTGGGAAAAAGGACAAATGGGAGAGGCCGGGTCAGGGAGTCAGCAGGCAGGTTCTCGGGGCCTTTGGGCCAACGTGACGCTGTCTTTTAGTCAGAGGCGGTGAGAAGGCTGTGAGCAGATCATTGATAATATCTGGCTTCACGTTTCGACATGACCCCTCTGGCTCCTGGGTTGAATGGAGCAAAGGGGGCTGCTGAGGCATTGAGGTCATTTAGAGGAGACGTGAGGGGTTTGGACCAGGAGGTGACAGCGGGAATGGAAATGAGCGGCCAGTCTCTGAGTATATTTAGAAGGTAGAACCAGAGGATGTTGCAGGATTTGCTGGTGGATCAAAAGGGAACCACAGGTGGCTTTGCGTTTTCCTTGGATTTACCAACTGGAAGGACAGAGTTGCTCCACACTGAGGTGGGCAGGAATCGGGCAGCACGGCTTCGGGGGGAAGGACGGGAGCTGGTTTCAGGCAACTTGAGTTTGAGAGGCCTGCTGTCCAAGGGGAGGTGCCCGCAGGCGCCTGTGAGTGCAGAGTTCACTGGGGGTCTGGGCGAGGGACATCCCCTGGGAGCACAGCGGGCAGCCCTGAGCTCGCTGACGCCCAGGCGCCTGAGCGGGTGTAGGAAGAAGGTCAAGAACGGGGCCTGGGAATCCTGGCCGAGAGGAAGGAGCAGCTGAAGGAATCGTGGAAGAGCCTTCAGTGGGGTGGGAGGGACCTGGACTTTCGTGTCCTGGAAGCCAAGGGAAGGAGCCTGTAAGGAGAAGGAGGTGTCCCTGTGTCGCATGCCGTTGGTGGTGAAGGAAGAGGGGCTGCGGAGTGACTCAGCGTGCTTGGGGTCTGGAGGCAGGCGGAGGCCGGCGGTAGTGAGAGGCACCGAGGAGGAGGAAGCCAGGAGCGCTGGGTGTGTGGTCCGGAGACCTGGCTCCGGTACGATTCCTGAGACCTGATGGTGCTGCCACCCAGCTCCTGCGGGTGTCTGCTCGATTGTCTCTAAATGCACGTGGTGACTCACTCAGACACGTCCGGTGAGGTCGTGTGTAAGGTGTGGGTCCCATGTCGTGGTGACGACGTCTCCCTTCTGCGGGGCATGTGGCGAGTCTGTGGTGACCCTGAGGGCACCCACCTTTAGCTCCGGAGGGTTCCCCGCAGGTGCACAGGGCCAGGAAGTCGGCCAGCTGTGACCTGGGCTCTGGACAGGACTCCACAGGCACTCGTGTCTGAGTTCTGTCCCCGTCACTGTGTGGGGAAGAGCATGTACACTCAGAGCCCAGGTGTTCGATGCAAATGGTCAGGTTGGGATGGGGTGCG